AAGCTAGTCAAAGTAACGACCTTCAGGGGGTGCGTGGCTGGCTCCATCCATCAGTAGAGCATGTGACTCTTGATCTCAGGGTCGTGAGTTCAAGCTCCACATTGGGCATGGAGCCTACTTAATAAATTAAATTTTTTTAAAAAGACGCTACTTTCAAAAATATCTTCCAGATTGTTCTCTACTCAGAGAACATGTAGTCAGGATCAACACATCTCTTTCTTCTCTTTCTTAGCATAAAGTTTTCAAGATTCACCATTGCTGTAGTGTGTAACAGAACTTTATTTCCTTCTATGGCTGAATCATATTTCATTGGATGGATACACCATGTTGTGTTTATGTATCCGCCTGTTGGTAGACTTTTGGGTGGACAACCTTTCTCACCCTCCTCTGCACATGCCCTGGCTGGGTGTTTCTTTGCTGCATGGAACCCGGGGCCGCGGCCTTCATCTCTGCACTGCAGAACGATTCTTTCTGTGCAGGGAAGGAACATGCGGACATCCTAATATGACAGAAACCTGTCAGGAAAACTGGAAGCTTGAAAATTCATGGCCTCAATATGCCCAGCTGCGTCGACCATGAGGCAGAAGCACAGGGTTTGGTGTATCACAAATGGGAGGGGCCCTCCGTGGACACATGGCCTTGCCCGTCAGAGCAGGTGTAACCCAGTTCCAGACCCATTCTTCATGCCAATCGGGTTCTAAGTTAGTTACTTGCAGGTTGATCATACCCTTCCTTGCTGGACCACACGAGGAGCATTCTGGACTTGGCTTCCCCACACTTCCCCTCTCTTCTTAAACAGATAAAGGAGAAGGTGGCTGGTCCAGGATAACGAAGAGGCATGGGCTTGGATTTAGGCCCCGGCAGAGAGTCTAAGTCTATCCCTACTATCTCTGTATTGCTGGCCCTTCTCCTTTTCAGTTTTCCCATGTGTAGAATGGGAAAGGCAGTCTCACCTGTTGACATTTGGAGAATAATTTTGCAAGACAGTACTGGTCACCAGTGACATCTGGGGTTTCCGGGGTGGTGTAGGGGTTTGCGTGCTTGGCACCTATCTGTGGCGCTTGGCACTGTCCAGGAGCTGGTTCCAGCATAGTTGACTGAGAAGTTGAATTTGTCCAGCTGCAGGGCAAAGCCACATTCACTGGGCTCACAAAACTGGTACACACATATATTATTACATGTTGAAGAGCCATAATTCTAATGTGCTAATTTATACCAAGATGGACATCTGTCACCTGGCTCAGATGCTTCTATCTGCTTCCAATGTTACTGTCTCTTCCTCTGGGCAGGCCCTGGTGGTGACGCTTACACAGAGGCCTGTCTCCCGAGCATAGATGCACATGGACATACAAGAAGCAAAAGTTAAATGCAATCAGCATTATTTATAGTAGTCAATACATGGAAGCAACCCAAGTGTCCGCTGACAGATGAAAGGAGAGGGGTGCCCGGGTGGTTCAGTTGGTTAAGCATCCGACTTGGGCTCAGGTCATGATCTCACTGCTTATGAGTTCGAGCCCCGCATCATGCTCTGTGCTGAGAGCTCAGAGACTGGAGCCTGCTTCAGATTCTGTGTCTCTCACTCTCTTTCCCCCCCTCCACTTGTGCTTTGACTCTCTGTCTCAAAAATAAAGACATTAAAAATATTAAAAAAAATAGATGAATGAATAAAGAAGATGTGGTGCACATGTGTGCATACACACACACACACACACACACACACACACACAGAATATTATTCAGCCATAAAAAAGAATGAGACCTTGCCATTTGCAACAACATGGATGGACCTAAAGGTATTATCCTAAGTGAAAAAAGTCAGGAAGACAAATACCGTATGATTTTACTTGTATGTGGAATCTAAAACAAAACAAAAAAAATCAGAAACAGATCCATAAGTAGAGAACAAAGTAGCGGTTGCTAGGGGGAGGGGGCTAAGGCTGGGCAAAATGGGTGAAGAGCAGTGAGAGATACAGGCTTCCAGTTAGGCAACGAATAAATAAGTCACAGGGTTGAAAGGGACAGCATGGGGAATATAGTCATAGTATTGTAAGAGTGATGTATGGGGACAGATAGTAGCTACACTTGTGCTGAACACAATATAATGTGTAAACTTGTCAGATCGCTAATTTGCACTTCGGAAACTAATGTCACATTGTGTGAGCCATATTCAAGCAATAAATAAATAAACAAAGAAACAAATAAATAAATAAGACAAAAGGACAGAAAAACAGGCATTCACATGCCTTGCTGATAAATGTGAAGGACTAAAATCTATGACCATTTTAAACGTGTCTATCTTTGACCCAGAAAGTCTCAGTGTCTGTCCTAGAGAACAAATACATACATTCAGAGACACATAAGTGATGTTCTTTCCAGCACTGTACATGAGAGCAAAAGAAAGAATTAACCTAAATGTCCATGAATAGGAAAATGATTATATAACTTTTGGTGCTTATGATGGAATATGACACAGCAATTTTATTTTATTTCTTTTTTATTAAAAAAATTTTTTTTTCAACGTTTATTTATTTTTGGGACAGAGAGAGACAGAGCATGAACGGGCGAGGGGCAGAGAGAGAGAGGGAGACACAGAATCGGAAACAGGCTCCTGGCTCTGAGCCATCAGCCCAGAGCCCGACGCGGGGCTCGAATTCACGGACCGCGAGATCGTGACCTGGCTGAAGTCGGACGCTTAACCGACTGCGCCACCCAGGTGCCCCATGACACAGCAATTATAAAAGATGGGGTAGAGCTATATCAACTGACATGGATATTCCTCCAAGATACTTTTTAAAAATATTTTTATTTATTTTTGAGAGACAGAGAGATACAGAGCGCTAACGGGGGAGGGGCAGAGAGAGGAAGACAGAATCCGAAGCAGGCTCCAGGCTCTGAGCTGTCAGCACAGAGCCCGACATGGGGCTCAAACCCACAAACCGTGAGATAGTGACCTGAGCCGAAGTTGGACGCTCAACCGACTGAGCCACCCAGGCAGCACTCCAAGATGTTTTGTTAAGCAAAATGCTACATTCACCCATTTTGTCCAACCCACCACCCCCCGCCCCTCTGACAACCATCAGTTTGTTCTCTGTATTTATAGGTCTGATTCTGCCTTTTGTTTGTTTATTCATTTGTTTGATTTTTTAGGTCTCACTTAGGAGTGAAATTACATGGTATTTGTCTTTCTTAGTGTGACTGATTTCACTGGGCATCATACCTTCTAGGTCCATCCGTGTTGTCTCAAATGGCAGGATTTCATTCTTTTTTTAGGACTGTATAATATTCTTGTGTGTGTGTGTGTGTGTGTGTGTGTGTGTGTAAAACACGTTTTCCTTATCCATTAATCTATTGATGGACACTTAAGTAGCTTCCATTTCCTGGCTGTTATAAACAATGCTGCAATACAAATAAGGATCCACGTATCCTTACAAAGTAGTGTTCTTGTTTTCTTTGGGTAAACACCCAATAGTGGAATTACTGCATCATATGGTATTTCTATTTTTAATGTTTTGAGCAACCTCCATACTGTTTTCCACAGTGGCTGCACCAATTTGCGTTCATGACAACAGTTCACAAGTGTTCCTTCTTCTCCACATCCTCGCCAACACTTGTTATTTCTTGTCATTTTGATTGTAGCCATTTTAACTGGTGTGAGAGGGTATCTCATGGTGGTTTTGACTTGCATTTCCCTGGTACTTAGTGATACTGAACATCTTCTCATGTGTATGTTGGCCATTTGTATGTCTTCTTTGGGAAAATGTCTATTCATTGCCTCGGCCCATTTTTGAATTAGATTGTTTGATTTTTTTTTTTTTTTTTTTGGTGTTGAGTTTGTCCTTTCACCGTCTAATGGTGATCATCCTCTTCTTAGGGACAGTGACACTTCTGTTCAGATTCCAGGAAGGTTTTGTTAGCTTGGAAGTAAGATGTCTTTTCCGATCACGGACACATTGATCCTTGAGTTAACTGTCAGCGTGCTCTCTGATTTCTCATATTTTCCAGTTCTTAGGTAGATGCCTGACTATAGCCCCTGACTGCTGATAAGAGGGATACCTCAAGGTTTACAGGAAAGATCACCTGACCCAGCCAGTGTGAAGACTATGTCTCACCTTTAGAGTTTTGGAGGCATATTGACTGTTGGGTGTTTATTCTGCTATGGCCCAACAGGTGATTTTATGTGCATGTTGCCTTCATTCAGACCTTCAGATACCTATCACTTATGGGCATGAAACCATTTTTCAAGGGTCCATAATATCCCGCAGACTGGTTTGGATAAACTCCCACCTCAAAGTATGAGGGGTATTTTACATATTATTTGTCATCCATTTATTTCCACAAAGTGATGCACTTAGGGCCTTCTATCTGGTTTCTGTTGCACCTATCCTTCTAGGGTTGATGTCTATTCAACAACTTGGGAGAAGGCCATCATGGGGGAAAAAGTTCTGAGGAGATGAGCAGTGCAGGTGGCTATGAGCCATCATCTTTCATAACCTAGAAGGGACTGGGAAGCTTCTTGTTCCTGACTTCTGTCCACAGGGACGCAGGATCTGACATTTTGTTATGTCTCTAAAACCCAAAACCAACCCTAAGGTATTAGTTTGTAATGAATGATTCACTGAAGATTTTATGGAGTGATGGAAGCTACATCAAATATGATGCAGCAGAGATTAATAGAAAAATTTCCATGATGTGTCTTTATTTTCCCTCCTGAGTTATGTGGCCACCAGCCACTCCTGGACCATCCCTCCGTCAGAAATTCCCCTTTCACTTAAGCCCCCACTCCAAATTTTACCTAACTTTTCTTCTTTTTATACAGAGAAATGCATCTGTTTTGGCTTGTCTGTGCATTTTTCCACTTAGCAGATAAAGAAACTTCCTCAAGTGCCACCCTCTCCAGAAAACGTGGACAATCATACCTAGCATGGAATGTTTTCCTCATTAAGTGACTTCTCCTGCCACCTGAGTCTGAGCCCACTTTGTCTTGCCTTCATCCCTTGCAGGTGGTGATTCTGGATTTGGCCATGCCCTGTCCAAATATCTGGATGAGCTTGGCTTCACGGTATTTGTCGGAGTTCTGAATGAAAAGGGACCAGGAGCAGAGGAACTGCGAAGAACCTGCTCCAAGCGCGTCTCCGTGCTCCAGATGGACATCACCAACCCGCAGCAGATAAAAGACGCCCACAGCAAAGTGGTGGAAAAGGTGCAGAACAGAGGTACTGCGACCCGCCCCTCCTAGCAAGTGACCCACTCTGGTTCCAGCCTCGAATTACCACTGCCCTCTAGTCCATTCTGGCTGCTGACCACATCTGAGGGTGTGAGCACCTGTCACATGCCACGGCCTCTCGCAGACACAAAGATGGTACGAATGGGTCAGCCGTCCATCCTCACAGAACTTGAATTCTTGAACCCATTTGCCCAACATCTGCTTGGTCACCCTCCCATTACTTACCCTCATGCCCGCGCTTCCCCTTGCTTTCCTCCCACCAATATTAACATGTGTTGGACTTAAAAAAAAAAAAAGTAACAATTACTGTCTTCCTTTAGTCACAGCCCTTTTTCTTCCCCTTCCTTCATGGTTGAGCTCTTTGGAATCCTGCTGTCCTGTTTTTAACTTGTTCACCTTCAATCCCGTGTTGGCTTACTGGTCTGGCTGAGCTAATAAGTGTCATCCTGAACACCTAGCTGTTTATCTCTCTGCACTATTTTATCTTTTAATTAAAAAATTTTTAATCTTTATTTTTGAGAGACAAAAAGAACAAGCGTGTGAGCAGGGGATGGGCAGAGAGAGAGGGAGAGAGAGAATTCCAAGCAGGCTCTGCACTGTCAGCATAGAGCCAGACGCAGGGCTCCAACCCACGAACCACGAGATCGTGACCTGGGCTGAAACCAAGAGTCAGGAACTTAACTGACTGAGCCGCCCAGGCACCCCCCCACCTTTGTTTTTTTTTTTAATTTTAATAATCCCTTTTACTTAACCCAGTATATCTACAACATTAATATTTCAATATGTAATCAATACAAAGGTTATTAGTGAAGTATTTCACATTTTTTAAACTAAATCTTTGAAATCTGGTGTGTATTTTATGCTTACAGCTCAACTCAATTTAGAGGCTAAATTTTCAATGGTTAAAGTGAAATATAGTCCTACCAAAACCACAAAGCTGTATTTATTTTTATTTATTTATTTAATTTAAATCCGAGTTAGTTAACATAGAGCTGCAGTATTATAAATGTGCTGACCACCCTCCCTTGTCTTGGCTTTGAGGTCTCCAGCTTTCCTATTGCTTCCCTAGTTCTCTGATTTTTGTTTTGTTTTGTTTTGTTTTTTTGTTTTTTTGGCTTCTCCTGCCTGAACCCCTTCTTCCATCCCCCCATAGAATGTGAATGTTTCTGCGGGCTCCATCCACAAACTCCCCATTCCATGTTTCCTGGGCTAAGCTGTTCTGTCCCTGTGCCACTCAGCTGCATATTACAATCACCTGGCGAGTGTTTGAAAATACCCATGCTTGGGCCCAGGATGGCCTACATAAGTTGGAGGCCCCAGGGCAAAATTAAAATGATGTAAGGCCCCTTGTTTCAAAAATGATGAAGACTTTAAGATGATGCTAGCAGAGAATTGAAACAAGCAGGAAGATCAGAAGCACAGGGCCCTGTGTGACTGCACAGGTGGTACACCCATGATGCCCACCCAGCCTGGGAACCCTTCCCCTAACCAATCCAATCGGTGTCTACAGGCAAGGATTCAGCTGTCCTTCAATAAGGGGGCTGCTACTGTTGCTAGCCTGTTGCTACGAATGTCAGCGGCAAAGAAGATCCCACTCCGGGGTCCCAGGCCTCAGTATATTTGAGAGCTCCCTAGGTGATACTAAGGTTCTGCCAGAGCTGAGAGACATTGAGATGTATGCCAGTCACTTCCAAGTGTATTACCAGCCTAGCCCCCTTCTCAACATCTCGACCTATATGTATATAAAACTGTCTGCCTGACATCCCGCCTCCCTTTGTTAAAACCTGACCTCATTATCTTTTCCCCTGTTGCCTGTCTGCAAATGCGCTTACCCTCCTTCATTCCACAGCTCAGAAGTTGGCATTGGCACGAAGTCAGTCATCCAAGACAGCAGCCTGGGGGTCACTTAGACCTGCAGCTTACCCTCAGTCCCTAAATCCTATTTGTCCCGAGTCCTTCAGTTCTACGTCCTAGATCTTCCTCACCCCAGGCCTATTCTCTCATCTCCAGGCGGTGAGGCTTAGCAAGGCTTCACCTTCCATCTGGGCCCCCACGATCTTCCTTGCGATGGGGCTCCCTCCCCATTACTTTCCAAATGGGCAGTGATCTTTACAATGTGCACCTTATAACGCCACCCATCTCTTATAGACCCTTGGACATACAGGGCCTCCGTGTCTTGGGTCCCTCCCATGAGCCAGGCCTGTGGGAGGTGTCTTGCTCAGTCTCACTGAATGGTTCAGTGGGTCTCTATCTGCCACCAAATACAATCTAAACCCCTTCACAAGAATTTGAAAGCTCTCAGGATAATGGCCGCTGACAAACCCTTAATCTGCAATACCTATTGGCCCACTCGGTAAATTCTGATCAGTTTCCAGAGTAGAATATGTGAAATGTACCATATCTTTGTACATGCAGCTTCCTCTTGCCAAAATTTCCCTCTTGCCTCTGCTCCCTTTTTCTAAGACTCTTGATTTGTCCAACTGCAGACTCTACTTCCACAGGAGGCCTGGCTCAAACATAACATCTCGCGCATGATCTTCCTGTTGATCCAAGTGACACCATTCACTTTCTCTTCTGGACGCTCACTTGTTATACCTTGCACACACCTGCATTACTGATTATAAATATCTGTCCATCTCCTGCTCCTCACCACCAGGTTCCTTGAGAATCACAACCATGTTCCCAGGAGGATTCGTTCAGACGCCAGTGGCACAAACCCAGGTTGAAATTGCTAACGTATAAAGGAATGTATGTGCATAATTGAAATGACAGGTTAGCTTCAGGCGTGTTGGATCCTTAAACAATGTCATCAGGGCTCAGTCTCTGTGTCTTACCCTGCTCTCTCCCTGGTTGGCTTCACGTTGGGGCTTTGCATGGAGGCCTCAAGCACTTGCAGCTTATATCCTCTTTACTGCTGACATTTTCAGCATAAAAAGAGTAATATTATCTGCTTCATTTGGCAGTTGAAGATGTAGTTATATAGGAAGCACTTAGAAGAGTCCCTGACATGAGGAAGGCATTCAGTACGGGCTCCTGTTTTCCATTCATTCAACACTAAGCACAGTCCCTGGCATATAATAAATATTCAGCAAACATCTAAGAAGTGAGAGGAGGAAAGAAAAATAGACTTTTTGTTATTAGGGATTAATTTTCAGCAAGTTTAGCAATGTGTGGTCGTTTTCTAGAAAAGTAGTCTTCCTGGCCTGCTCTTTTGTGGTTTCAGAGATTTGAGCTTGTCCCTCTTAAGAAAGGGACTTCATGGTGTCTTATTCAATAAGATATTCGATACAGACCCCTCTAGTGAGGCCCAGAGGGGCAGTATTAACCATACTGAAGGATAAAGCAATGGGCTATAGATATGGAAATACTACACCAGCATCCAGGGATGCTGAAGGGGTGTGGGGGAATACACTTCCCAATGAGCGAGCCCATGCTATTTTGTGGCCAGAATTCTGGAGAGCCACCCTCTTCTGAGGCAGAATTATCAATATGCCTTCTGTCCGCTTTCCTTGAGGTCTCTCTCAACCTCAGCCTCTCGACTCAAAGACGAAGTGAAGCAGTGAAACAGAGAATTTAAAATCACCAAGAAGGAGGTTTCCTGAAGAACCCTCTGGGACCTGTAGACAAACGAGAAAATGTCAGCTCCTGTAAGAGGGCTGTCACTGTGCTGTGTTCCTACACAGCACATTATTATATAAGTAAATATTACTTATTTTAAAGTTAATACGACCCATAGGTATAGTGGGCTTATCAGCCATCTTAAAATTCTATGGCAGGAGTTGGCAAACTATGGCCCTGTTTTGTTTTGTTTTATATTTTATTTTGAAAAAATTGTAGATTCATAGGAAGTTGCAAATAAATGTCAGGCAGAGCCTGTGTGTGTTTTGCCAAGCCTCTCCCAGTGTTAACATCTTACATAACTACAGTACAATATCAAAACCAGGAAATTGGCATTGGTGTAAGCCACAGAGCTTATATTTCACCAGCTATACATATAAGCATGTGTGTGTGCACACGCGCACATGCGTGTGTAGATTTGTACGAGAGCATCACAATCAAAACACAGAACTATTCCATCACCACCAGGCTCTCTCATGCCACGTTTTTAAAATTTTTTTTTTCAACGTTTATTTATTTTTGGGACAGAGAGAGACAGAGCATGAACGGGGGAGGGGCAGAGAGAGAGGGAGACACAGAATCGGAAACAGGCTCCAGGCTCTGAGCCATCAGCCCAGAGCCCGACGCGGGGCTCGAACTCACGGACCGCGAGATCGTGACCTGGCTGAAGTTGGACGCTTAACCGACTGCGCCACCCAGGCGCCCCTCATGCCACGTTTTTAGAGCCATATTCTCATCTGTCACTCCTGGCGATCACAAATCTGTTCTCTCTCTAACTTTGTCATTTAAAGAACATTATATAGATCTGCCACCTGTTTTTGCATAGCCTCTGAGCTAAGGAAGGTTTTTATAGTTTTAAATGGTTGAAAAAATCAGAAGAAGAAGGTTATTTTGACAAATGAAAATGATATGGAATTCAAATGTCAATGTCCATAAATGCAGCTTTAGCGTGGCCCTGCTCCCATTCATTTACAGATGAAGTCTGCGTCTGCTCTTACCCTATAGCATAGCTGAAACAGTAGTGCTCACACAGAACTGTTCACTATCTGGCCTTTTTTAGAAAAAGTTTGGCGACCCCAATTCTAGTGCCTTCTCAAGCTGCTGCGTGTTGCCTGTCCAAGGTGTACATCAGGCTGAATGAATTCAGCAGAGGCGTCCCCTCCACCATCACCATCCTCATAATAGCTGTTGAGCTCTTACTACGTCAGGCATCATCTCAATTAGGGCTCCCAATCACGACTGTGTATAAATGTCAGACCCCCAGCTCAGGTGTGTGAGAAATGTAGCATTATTTTCTGCGACTCAACTCTGTATTTGAGCCATCTCTCTGCCATGTGGCAAAAACCATTTCAATTGGAACTTCACCTCGTTTCCCCAGGGTAGCATCTAAATTCCTGGGGAGGAGACATTTCTTCTTTGATTGTCAATGCTTCACGCTGACCCCTGCTGAGGCGTCCGACAATCTGTCCAGTCCTTGCACAAGTTGGCTGCCACTTACCTTCTTGATGCCATCCAAAAGGCACCATTAGGGCTGCACTTCCTGCCATTTGTGTCTCTGAGGCTCCTTCGACTTCTCCACGTAACACAGGTTCTCACACTTGAGATCACTTGGACGGTATGGTCTGTCACCAGAAGCTGAGCTTCAACAACAACTTCTGCTTGCTACTTTCTGATCTAGCAGGGCTGAAGTGGGGTTCCAGAATCTGCATTTCTAACAAGTTCCCATTTGTGCTGGACCACATCTTGAGAGCCACTGTTGTAAACCAGGCTGAGGCTCAGGGAACTCAGAGAATAAACATACCCCGGGTTCTGTCATCTCTGTTTCTCCCAGGTAAAGAGGAACCAGGTCACTCACTTCTGCTATAGAGCCCACCTCCTAAAAGACATTTGGACTTTTTGGATTACCTCTTTCCCACCATTTAGGGCAGTGGTTCCCAAGCTTGCTTGTACATGGGAATCCCCAGGGGAATTTTTGAAACTATCAGTGTCAGGGCCCCTTCTCTTCCCTATCCCAGAATTTCTGATGTAATTGGCTGGGATGTGGCTGGACACTGGGGTTTTAAAAAGTGCTCCCCCCACCCCCAGGTGATCCTAATGTGCAGTCAAGGTGGCAAACCACCACTTGGGAACAGGGCTTCTCCAAGTGTGGTCCAGACCTGCATCAGCACCACCTGGGAGGTCGTTAGAAATGTAGATTCTGAAGCTCCATCCCAGACACCCCCAAATGGGATTCCCTGGAGGTGGGCCCAGCGGTCTGTTTGTACAAGCCCTCTGGGTGATTCTGATGCAATCAATAGGATTAGGCTGGGTGTGGAAGGGACTAGGGCTCAGAGATTCTGCCATCTTCTTAGCTCTCGACACTTCTCTAGCTGTCTCATTTCCCTGGATTAGGGGATCTCTTCTAGTTTAGGGAAAAGGGAAGACAGGCTTCTATATCATCCCGCATGGCCCTAAGGATGTTCTACTGTCTCTACACACTCCTTTAAGGGAGAAACATGAGGTAGGCCCTTACTACTATACCCCTTGCTGATGCTTCCCTCTGCGGATACAGCAAATATCTAGCTGCTTGGATGTAGGAAAGTGTTAGAAGGAGAAGGAAATACCTCCAAAAAACCATTGCTTAATATTTCAAATCTACTCACTACACAACCCCCCGCCCCCACCCCAAAGGAGGTGGTTTTAGGTATTCGAGGAGACTGAGGTCTGAGTTTGAGTGATCTGCCTGGATCCTAAACCTGAAAGGGGACTTTTAGACTCTGGAGCTTTAAGTGTTAAAAATCCTCCTGCTCTCCAGCATCATGAGACATCAAACTCATTCCTTTCTGTCCTCAGGACTGTGGGCTGTGGTCAACAATGCTGGGATCATTGGCTTACCAGCGGACGGGGAGCTCATTCCCATGACTAACTACAAACAATGCATGGCCGTGAACTTCTTTGGGGCCGTGGAGGTCACAAAGGCATTTTTGCCTCTTCTTAGAAAATCCAAGGGGAGGCTGGTGAACATCAGCAGCATGGCAGGTGAGTTGGCCTTTCCCCACAAGGTTGTACGGTGCCTGTTGTGCAAGATGTGGCTTGTTGCATTCTTTTTGGACCAAAGAAGAAAGCAGGACAGGCTTCTGCAGGGCTGGGTCGAGATTAGTCAAATTGTATGTTTACCGTTCATCTTAATACAATAAAACCTTCCCTTTCAAATCCTTTCATGTACAAACGCTTACCTCTTATGTCATCTACTCATTACTGGGGATTTAGGTTTTACATATCTTCATAACACATAAGCTTCCTAGATTTGGACAGGAAACCAGGCATACAGTTACTGGTAATCTGTTTTGAACTGGGCACATTCGTAAGATGAGTAGGCAAATGTCCCCACTGTTGGCACTGATGGAGCTCCACATCTCTGTTGGCTGCCCAATCGTATTTTCCATAAGATCCTTCCCAATATTTTGCAATCTCAAGGCAGTTGGGTCAGGGTGTGACATTTGATGACTCACTTTTTTTCCATTTCAAAGAACAGATAGTCAACAACTTGAGTCCAGGGTTTAACAAACTCCCTTTCATAAACAAGCCCATGTATGTGATATCACATCCTTTCTTCTAGGACAGGCATTTTCTTTCCTTTCCTTTCCTTCTCTTCTTTCTTTCTTTCTTTCTTTCTTTCTTTCTTTCTTTCTTTCTTTCTTTCTTTCTTTCTCTTTCTTTCTCCCCTTCTCTCTCTCTCTTTTTTTTAAAGTAGGCTCCACACTCAGCTCAGAGCCCAACACAGGGGTTGAACTCATGACCCTGAGACTGAGACCGGAGCTCAGATCAAGAGCTCAACACTAAACCAACTGAGCCACCCAGGCGCCTAGAACAGGCATTTTCAAACTGGGGTTCCTTAGATCCTGACTTGGCTTTGGGAACGTCCATGGGGCTGTCTTTCGGGCCACTGCACGAGTAAAAGGGAAGCCAAGGGGGTGGGGGCTTGGACTTTAGGATCCTGCCTTCAAAAAGAGGAACACCACTACTCTTCACTGTTTGATCAGTTGGTTCCAAACAAGATTTTTTTTTTTTTTTTTTTTTTAGCATGAACGGGGGAGGGGCAGAGAGAGAGGGAGACACAGAATCGGAAACAGGCTCCAGGCTCAGAGCCATCAGCCCAGAGCCCGACGCGGGGCTCGAACTCACGGACCGCGAGATCGTGACCTGGCTGAAGTCGGACGCTTAACCGACTGCGCCACCCAGGCGCCCCGATTTTTTTTTTTTTAAATGAAAGATCCACTAGTTACTTTATTTCGTTTATTTGGTTTTTGGGGTGAGGTCCTTTGTATAGACTAGGCAATTATCACTGTTCATCATATTTCCTTCCTACCTTTAACTCAGCAACTTCTTGAACTTACCTACGTGAATGTGGGTTACTAAGTTGGTGATTGGCCTGAGGAGAAAGGAAGCAAAGAAGGGAGGAAGGACAAGAAGGAGAGAGGGAGGAGAAAGAGAATGGGGAAAGAAAGGCTAAGGTGGTTAACAGAAATGAGTATTATATTTTAACTTGTATGAGAATCCTGAAATAGTTCCAATTTCTTGCTACCTCGCTAAGTGAACAAATCCTGGGAAAACACATTTGCAACATTTCAGCCTTATCTTTCTTCTGAACTTAGCCTTCAAAATTTTTACCTCTGTGGAAACCTTGCCTTTTTCAGCTCCCTGGCAGAGCCTGGTACTTCTGAAAAATTCTCACACACTCCTTGCCTCACTCATTAAACAAATATTTACTGAAATAACTGATCATTGCCTGCTTCTTGGCACACTGACAAACTTTGCTCTTTTCTCTCTTTGCCTTCAACTTTGAGCAGCTCATTCATTAAGAAGACTGTACTTTAGTTATCACTAATAGGCACACTACCTGCTATGGGCACAGGGTCTGGCATGTAGGATCTCAACTAATAAATGAAGAAATCCAAGTGTGAGAATGAATGAAAAATGGATGGATGAATGAGGGAATGAAGAATTTACAATACAGAACATGCCTGTTCCTGCATCTTCAACTTGGCTTCTAATGCTTTTTCTAAACCAAGGCTTCGTACTCTCTTCTGTTTCCATTGGAGGGACACTTGAGTGTTAAAAAAAATAAATCACAATACCTTCACTCTTATTCTTACGGTGGATGTGCAAATTCTTTACATCTAGCCTTACTACTTCCATTCTATCATCTTACCATCATCGCCAAGTCAACACATCTGAAACCAAAGTTGTCACCGGCAATTCAAAGTTTTCTCCCCTTCTTTTGGTTTTTCTCCTGGTCTTTAAAATTTCAGAGCTTTGAGATTTCTTTTCTTTTTTTTTTTTTAAGTTTATTCATTTATTTTGAGAGACAGAGAGAGAGAGAGAGCAGGAGAGAATTTCAAGCAGGCCCTGCACTGTTAGTACAGAGCCTGGTGTGGGGCTCAAACTCACAAACCATGAGATTATGCCCGGAGCCAAAATCAAGAGTCAGATGCTTAACCGACGGGCCTACCCAGATGTCCCTAAAATTTCTTTTATTTGTTTCTCCCTTTGCCTTTCCCTCCTTTCTCCCATCCATTCAGTCACCAAGAGGTATGGAGTCTTACTTCATCACATTCAGCTTTAAATCCTTATGTCCCAAAGAAACTCTAGAATGAAGTTCATCTGTAGGACACGGAAGACACCTAAGGCATTTTATAAAGTTGTTAAGGCAGTGGCAAGAAATCAAAACAGATGGCAAGCATATGTACCTTATAGGGCAGGTGTTTGTAAAAAGATAGGAGCAAAACTCTTAAATGATGCTTGTAGTTTCCTCCAGTGAGGAAGAGCAGAGAAATTCAGCAGAAAACAAAATAAGGAAATCCCTTGCATTTGGCTGACAAGAGTTTTACAAAACAATGGAAAATATTTTGAGCAGGGGGGTAAGGACCTAGAATGTAACACAGGATCAGGAGAGTCAAAGCAAGTATAAAACACAATATGTAAGCAAACAATCCATTGAAATTAGCATCCAATGTGATGTCAATTTGATGTGTCTCTTGGCAAAGTTAATATAAAAGCAATTTTGGAAAACGTGCTTATCTAGGAATTCCTTCCTGGTCTTTTTCTCATTTTGAAGTAGGAGTCATGGAGAGAGAGAGAGATAGGCAATCAGTCACTAATGAATGTTCTCCAAAGGAGCTCACTGTAGTCCTGGCCCATCAGGTTGTCATGAGCCTGGTATCCGTGCCACCTTCTGCATGACAAGAATTTCACTGGGGTAGATTTATCATGCAAGTTTACATCAGCCAGGAGGGGCTGGGCTGGAATTGATAACTCTGTTCCAGTAACCCAGTGCAGCATAGCAAATAACCCCAAATAAAGTGTCTCAGACTGGTATGAGTAGGTAACTAGTTTGGTGCATAGGTGGATCAGTTGGGTAAGCATCCAACTTTGGCTCAGGTCATGATCTCGCAGTTCGTGGCTTCAAGCCCCACGTCGATTTCTGTGCTGACAGCTCAGAGTCTGGAGCCTGCTTGGGATTCTTTGTCTCCCTCTCTCTCTCCGCCCCTCTCCTGCTTGCACTCTGTCTCTCTCTCTCTCTAAAAAATAAAGAAATATTAAAAGAAAAGAAGAATAATGTTTCCTCAAATGCATGCACATCCTAATTCCTGGAACTGGAATATGTGACTTTACCTGGCAAAGGGGGCCTTGCAGGTATGATTGAGTAAAAGAGCTAGAAATGCCAAGATTATCCTGCATTATCTAGATGGTTCAGACACAAGAGTCCTTATAACAGGGAAGCAGGAGAGTCACAGTCAGAGGTGGAGGAAGGGACCAGGAGCCAAGGAATGCAGGAGGCTTCTAGAAGTGGCAAAAGTCAGAGGAACTGATGATTCTCCCTTGGAGACTCCAGAGGCTCTGAACACAGCCTTGTTGACACCTTCATTTTAGCTCAGTGAAACCTGTGACTTTCAAAACTGTAAGCTAATACATTTTTATTGTTTAAGCCACTAGGTTTGTGGGAATTTGCCATTAGAAGCAGTAGGAAAGTACACCTGGGTTGATATCAGGTGAAATACCTCTGGGCCCATCCAGTCTCTTCAAAGATGGATGGAGGTCCATCGACACTTCTCCACTGCCTTTCCCACCCTAGCCGGGGAGAGGGGGCTGTGGTGGTGGTGAAGGGGGAGACTGTAGGGCTGACCTTCTAATACCCAACATAGGCTTTCCATTTCAAGGCTCACTCTGCCCCAGGCCTCCCAAGCACTCCTGGAGGATATCTTTCATTAGTTTTAAGTCCCAGACAGACATCCTTCCTAGCAAGGCATTAATTCTTCTTCTTCTTTTTTTAATTTCCACTTTATTTGGCCAATATGTTCAATTCCAATATTGCGGTAGAAACTCCTGAAGAACTGTCAACATTTCATTCAGTTTAAGCAACAAGGCACCAATTCTCACCACAGTGATAAGTGCACGTTTTACAATCCCAGTTTGGCTCTTTCTATATGTCAAACTTTAATTATTTCTGATTAACAACTTAGCACATGTACCTAATTTCCTATTCCAAACATTTTACTTTTCTCTGAACCTGAATACCCGTTCCTTCCACCCTTCTGCAACCCAGGGCCCTGTGGACAGCTTTCACTTCTCATCCTTCATACCATGTTGAGTCGACACAGCATTTTATTGCATTCCCCCCAAAGCAAAGCCAAGTTCAGATTGGCTCAGATCTTCAGAACAGATTTCATTAAGGATTTTGAGCAAAGATGGAAGAAAGGACTATACCCTATACAACAAGACTCGTTTTAACGGAGACACTTATAAATGCTCTGTTCTCCTTCCAAAGAATTTCAGCAGGCCGGAGCTCCCCTGCTCTCTCTTTCCTCATAGTTTTAAGGTTCATCCATGTTGTAGCATGCATCAGAACTCCATTCCTATTTATTTATTTATTTAGATTTTATTTGTAAGTAATGTCTATACCCAAGGTGGGGCTCTAAGTCACAACCCAGAGATGAAGAGTCTCATGCTCCTCTAACTGAGCCAGCCAGGCACAGGTT